CTCTCTCTGTCTCTCTCTCTCTCTCTCTCTCTCTCTCTCTCTCTGTCTCTCTCTCTCTCTCTCTCTCTCTCTCTCTCTCTGTCTCTCTCTCTCTGTCTCTCTCTCTCTGTCTCTGTCTGTCTTCAGGTGTAACCTCTGTGATCTCGGTTGAATCTGTGTGTTTTTGTCTCTCTCTCCTTTGCGCAGCCTCAACGTCCGGGAACACAACGTCTCGGCTCCTTCAGACTTCTGAGGCCGCTGAGCCAGAAGCGATAAGTTCAAGTTTCCAGAATAAAACATAAAACTAATGAAAAGGCTTTTGTGAGGGTAATTGGCTTTAATTAAAGGGAACGGTAATGTTTCCCTTTAAAGCCGTTGGATGCGTCTACGGCTCATAAAAACACGTTCATTACTGTTCTTACATAAAATCAATCTCAGATGATGAGAATTCTCTTCTTCAGTGAATTTCCTTCAGAACCAGTTATTTCAGGGTTTCTGTCACTTTTATGCAAATGAGCTGCTGCTGGCCACGCCCCCAACTCAGTGTTTACACTTTAGACAGAGGAAAATGGCTGCAAACAAATGAACACTGTAAAACATTCACCCAGCCGACTGTTATCGTCTTCTCATAATGAAGGGCGGAGCTCCGCTTGGGTTGCTAGGTAACGGGACAGTGACGTCATAACAGGGAGGTTTTTGAAATAATTTCCCAGTTGTTGCCAGAAAATTCCTACAGGTTTTTTTTTAAAGTGTTTGGTTTTAGAATCAGTTCATTCAAACAGATTTACAAAAACATGCAGAAAGTCAGTTTTGTTCAATAAATCCCAGTTACAGAAAGACTTTATTTATGATTACATTTTTAAAAACCAGGGTTGGAACTTTAACTTCATAGATTTTAGTGCATTAAAAATGTTTTAATGTAGCTGCGTTGTTAGCACAGCTACATCCGCTAACAACAACAACGAAGCCGCTTCTCTTTTCCCAATCAGATCTTTTCGATCTGATTGGACGCCGGAAAAGACTGTTGTGTTCAAGTTGCTGATAGGAGTTAGCTTAAAATAGCATCTCAATGCTAACCTTGTAGCAGCTAATGCTAACGTTAGCAACCATAGTCCACATTTCTTGGTTGAAGAACAGATTAAAAATAATAAAAATCTTTTCTGTTTATTATGTTTGTTTGTTCAATAATTTAGCAGCTAAAATTGTTTTGAATTGAAAATGTTGCTGATTTTATTGATATAGTTTTCATTAATTAGGTTTAATTAATTACAGACCCTGCAACTATTAAACATTTTAACAGAATCCCACCACTAATGAAAAGGTACATAATTAAATGAATGTAAAAACATACATGATATTAAGTTTTTAAGAAAGAAAAATAAATTATCAGTTTAGAATAAATTATTGATTTTTTTTTCTCTTGAAATGATCTAATAATATCTTTTTCTGAAATAATTGTTCAGTAAATCCGACCCTGATGCTCCATTTCCTGCCTGAAGCCCCCAGGAGCAGATCAGAGTCTAATCAACATGATGCTGAAAAGAATCTGAGCTTCCTGCTCGTCGTGGTGAGTCACCGCGGCGCCGCGCCGCGCCGCGCAGCGCCGCGCAGCGCAGCCACGGATGAAAGTGGAATTAGTGCCGGTTAATTCGTCCTGACAGTTGGAAATGTTAAATCCTGCAGGGGGCTCGGCTTAGCGCGCCGCATCCTGCCTAAGTAGGTTAAACACAAACCGGAGTGATCAATCTGCAGACGCTCGACTGAAACTACGGAACCGCCTGGAAACTCTGGAAACCAGCAGAGGAGGCCGAGGCGGTCCAGAAGCCCCAAGGCAGCAGAACCAGCGGAACCAGCAGGACCAGCAGGAACACCAACTGGAACCAGTAACCAGGTCCAGTTGAGTTCTGGCTCTGGAGGTTCTGACTGTGGGAACCAGAACTGATCCAGCTCTGAGATGAAGAGGAACTTTTATTTTTTCCTCCAATAATTTGATGAAAATAAATTTCAAAGTTCAGGTTTTTATGTTTCTACTTTTTTATTCTCCCTCTTTTAAAGCGGCAGGGTGTGACTCTCATAAAGAACATGTTTGTTTAAAAAATCCTGGGCTCTCAACCAAAAACAACCAATCAGAGCCAGGAGGCGGGGCTTAGCGCTGTCAATCAATCTAACGGCTAATAGAGAAACAACTCACCGTTACAGGAAAACCGTTTATGTCTGATGAGGAGAAGCAGCGCGCACTCAGGCATGATTGACAGCGCTGAGCTAACAAATATGTAAAATAATATTTGTATAAATTACTTTCTGCAGCTTGAAGCAGCAAACAATTCATCAATTAATTGCATAATAAACTAAAAAGAGCTGGATCATATTCAGATGGTTAATATTTTGAAGAGCAACTTAAACCATTTATTTATGGTTTTGTTTTTTATTCCTGTTTTATTTTGAATAATTAAAGTAGAAATATATTCCATAAACAAAACATCTCAATCATATTTATGAACCCCGAGTTTCTGCTCTTGTTGCGTTTTTCCAGGAAATGTTTGGATTTCGGGATGATTGGCTCATTTATCGTCTTCATCTGTTTTTTCTGTGTTTACTGCAGAGCAGGTCAGGTTTCCAGCACCGGTTACCATGGCGATGCGTGGCAGGAAGCGATAACCCTCCGATGACCTGGTGGCCTAAACAAACACAGACGTGCAAAAAGCTTGTGAACAACAAACCAAACTGAGTTCAGGGGAAAACTGCAGTAACCATTAAAAACACAAAACATAATAATTATTAATAAAACCAAACATCTTGTTTTTACAGTGAATCATGAGGGAAACGCTGAGAGCTTCTTCACCTGCGGAAAATCTGATGTAAATTAAAGACATGCTGTAGATATTTTCCCAACAATAAATAAAGAATAAAAACTGATTGTAGGTATACGGAAAATAAATGTAATAACTAAATAATGCAGTTTTATTGTTTTAATTCATGAAAATTAAGAAAACGAGTCAAATGAAGCCTTTCTGCCCGCTGACCCCCATGTCCACATGGTGAATCCTCTGGATGTGGGCCAGCAGCTGCAGACTCACCACGAGGCATTTTGGTTGTTATTATTATTATTTTTAGCCGGACGCCATTAGCCATGGCTGCGTGAACGTGCGTGTCGCCGCACCGCCGCCTGAACTCTGATCAGATGTGATCAGTTTCCGCTCAGCTTGTTCTGCAGCAGCGTAAACACAAAGAGGCAGCGGCATAAATTCATCTGATTTCATGCAGCAGCAGCTGCAGGGAGTTTTTCCCTCTCAGCCCGTCTGTCTGGCAGCGGCAGGCAGGAGGCTCGTTACAGGGGTCAGGATGGTCAGGATGGTCAGGATGGTCAGGATGGTCAGGATGATCAGGATGATTGGAGGGAAAAACCACAGGGCGGGAAAAATCTCAGAAATGTTCTAGAAAAAAATTTGGAAATTTCTGAACTCCAAAAGTTGTAGATTTGACTTTAATCTCAGAAAAAGGCTGGAAGAAGGAAAATGTGACTTTGAAAATGTTCAACATTACGAAAAATACTAATATGAAATTTACAAAATATGAAATTTTGTAAATATTAGCACTGGGGCTGGAAGATGTTCTAAATATTCATTCTTTCATAAAAGTAAACAATTTCATTTCTTCCTTTGTTTACTTGCTTGGCATCGAGTGTGGAGAATAAACAAATACTGAACGTTAACATTTATAGTCTTTACTGTTTCTCCAGAAAAGCCTTTAACAACAATTTCAAGCCCTCAGTAGGAAATCCACATTTTCTGTTTGACCAAAAGAAGTTTTGTGAAAATGGAGTTTCCAGTTGTTCCTGAATGCACCACGAATTCCTGAACCTACAGATGGAAGAGGAAGCAGAAGGTCACCTGACCTTTCAAACATTAAACATTAATGATACATTTATTTCACATTTACATTAATTCATGACTGAACCAACGGAGTCTGAACATCCTGATGCTGCTTGGAGCCTCAGCAGGTCTGAACAGCAGAGAACCAGGAACCGGTTTAACTTTAAATCCAACCTGTTATGGGACATTCACGTTCTGGATGTTTTTATACATCCGGGTTTCTAATGCTTCTACAAACATCCTAAAAAAACAAAACACCCAGCTGGTTTTTGGTAATGAGTTCAAAGTTTTTTGGTTTCTAAATGATCTACTTAAACCCCCCCAAAATGTAACGTCACAAATCAGCAGGCACTGCCCGTTACCTAGCAACCCCAGCAGAGTTCCGCCCGTTACCTAGCAACCCAACCACAGCACCGCTTGTAGAATAAGATTTGTTTGTAAACTATCTAAAAACTGTAAAAGTCTCTGAAGGACTCTTATTGTGAAATATTAGCAGCAGCATCTCAGCTTCCTGTCAGCCTCCATCAGCAGCTGAAACCTGCAGATCACAGAGCCACCTTCATCTTCCTCATCCTCAGCCTGACTGTTTGCAGATTAATGAAGTAAAGCTGACAAACCTGAGAAAACGATGCGTGTTTGTTTACCCGTTAATCCCGCCTTGATTTGCTCCACTGTCTGAACCTTCAGATTATCGTTAGCTTCCAGATTTAGCGGTGAGTCACAGGAAGCTTCCTGCTCAGCGCTCCGACTCACATCTGCTCGTTTCTACATGTTTGGATTTTTAAGAGTAAAAACTTTGATCTTTAACGGGATCATTTTAAAAACGATGCTTTACTCCACACCATATGATATAGCATTAGCATAAAGGCGGACACGTTTGTATTTTTATTTCTAGAATATTTTCTGGTGATTTCCAGTTGAATTGATCAGGATTAAAGTCACACTATGTGCAGAAAACGTTTAAAATTATGATTTTTAAATCACGACATTTTAACAGTAACATATTTATAATTATGTTTTTTTGTTTGTTTTATTAGAAAACCAAAAAATATTAGAAATAGTGTTATTATGGTAGCACAGCCAGCTGCCACAGGAAGTTAGTAAAGCAGCAGGTAAAAGCAAACAGAAGCAGTTTAATAACTTCATGTTGGTTTATGAGTCTGATGAAATGATCTAATAATTGTGTTTTTATTGATTAACAGAAATAAAATCTAGAATCATGAATCTGACTGGAATAAATGAGCGTTTGGTTTATAACCCGGTTCGGCCCAAACCGGCTGGCTGCAGGTTTTCTGGAGTGAAGGAAGCGGCCGGGTCGCTCTGAGGCGTTCCCATGACGACAGAACCAGACGCAGACGTGAGTCAGAACCAGAACCGCCCCGGCCGGGCCGCTCCGACACCACCGAGGTGACAGCCTGTTGTTACTGTGTGTCATGGCGACGCCCTTTAACCCCACAGGAGGCTGATGTCAGACGGCCTCCGCCCGCCATGCGTCACCGTGACGACCGGCGACTCACAGTGACGCACAGAGACCGGTTCTGTCTGCTGGGTCGGTTTGGACCAGAACCAGAACCAGGATTTTCTGTCCAGTTAAAGTTTATTGATTTATGAATAATAACTGATAAATGGATCTGATTGATCATAACTGAGATTTAACTGCAGATGAAAACATGAAACTGAGTCAAATATTTAATATTTCAGGACAGGAAGTAAAAATATGATTATGTGACTTGAAAAAGTCCAGACATTAAAAATATAGAATTAATAATTATTGTATCAATATCAATATAAGAAAAAATAACATTAGCTTTGGAATAAAAATGACTTAAATCATATTAAGTAGTTATTATAAACAGAGAAGAATATTAGAATTAACTACCAGGACAATAAAAATATTAAGAAAATAACGAAAACAATAATAATATGACAAAAATAATTTCAGATTAAAAACATCTCTAAATAATCTGCCAACATATGAATATTAATCTGCAGGATTTATTTTTACTTGCAAATGACTTTTAATGTTAGTAGAAAAATAAAATTTGGTCAGATTTTTTTTTTAAATACACAATTTGCCTTTTTTCTTCCAGATTTTGTGAATCCTTGCAGTTCTTCCTTCCATCAGATTTTAACCTCCATTGAAGGAGAAATCTGCAGAATAAAATCCAGTTTGTGTTTCATGCTTGACTCATTTCTGACTCACAGTTCTCTGCTGCCACCTGCTGGTCAGGCGAGCAGCTGGACCCATGAGGATGATGATGATGATGAAGTCCTGAGGGTGCACTTACTTTTCCAGAAACATCAGTCAGAGGTAAAAACGTTCAAAGTATTCACACCCACCTGCAACATTTCAACCAAAATATTTTTCATATTTTACTTTGTGAAGTAGTGAATGGAAATCTGAAAAGTGTGGTGTGCATGTTTACTCAGCCCTCCCACCCACTCCTCCCCCTTTAAGTTACCCCAAAATAAAAAAGATGTGGCGGTTTGGTGAGACAGCTGAAGATGTGAGAAAGACTCTGGAGTTCTGCCTGAACAAAAACATAAAGTCATCGTCAAATCCCTCATTTATTTACATTATTTTACATAAAGCAGCTGCTGGTTGTGCAGGAGGCCCCACTGCTGCTGATCGTCCACGTTCCTGAAGTCCAGACCAGCAAACCGTCTGGCTGGTCAGAGGGAACCCTGGTTCTGGTTCTGTCACTGGACCCCCTTCAGGGTGTGGTAGAGGTGTTTAGGTACGACCACGTAGCGGTCGGCGGGCGGCCCACGCCCGGCCCGCGCCCCCCGCCCCGCCCGCAGCCTCTTGAGCTGCCGCTGCTGCCGGCGCACTTTCTGCTGCGCCGTCTTCAGTTTGCGCCGCAGCAGCTCCAGCTGCTCCTCCAGCTGCTCCATGCGCCGCTTCTGCTGCGCCGAGTCCTCCGCCGTGTAGTTATGGTCGCCGCTCACCGCCGCCGGGCCGCCGCCGGCCTCCTCCGCCGACGCAGGGTCAGAGGTCACCGGCAGGGGGAGCGGGAAGTCGATCTCTGAGGAGAACGGGTTCTCTAGAGATTCTGACTGGAGGAGAAAAACAGACAAAGAGACGGAGAGATGATGAGATGGATGGATAATCAGACAGACCACCGACCCATGTGACCTCTGACCTTCATGCTGAGGCCGAAGCCGAACAGTGAGGGCACGGCATTGTCCTTCAGGACCCGGTTGTTGCATTCCCTCTTGAAGCAGTCCTGGGTGAAGTGCTGGGAGCAGATGTTGCTGTACTTGGTGGGCTTGAAGTTGCTCCTCCTCATCGCCGCCACCCACTTCCTGCAGACGTCCGGCCGCGCCAGAGGAAACCTGAGCAGGCCAAACAGGAAGGGCGGCCATGTTGGTCACTGACTGTCACCGTTTTAAACGTCAGAAATGTTTATTGGAAAGTTGTTTATAATTCTAAAAGCAGGATAGAATATCGTGTGTTTTTCACACTTTCTTAAACATTCATATTTAGATTTATTAACACTTTGGATTAACTGAGAGCTCTGGACATGTTCATTAATAAAAACAATCCTCAAAAATAAGACTTGTAAGTCTAATAATTGTCTATGTAGTATAAAATAACCCTATTTTCATCTTTTACGAATAAAATAAAAACTTTGTGCGTCATAAACTGCATTTTAAATCTGCTTTGACGTTTTCAAGTGCAGTTGTTTTCAAACTGCAGCAACACTGAGGTGTTTTTTTATCTCTAAAAACTAAATGTCTCAATGTTATAACTCTCTCACATGGAGTAAATACTTTATACAAACACCAACTGGTGTTTCAAGTTCTCTGTAATGAATGCTAAACAACATGTTTCCGGTTTGATTGGTGTAAGAAGCACAGATTTGATTAAAAGTGGCCTAGTACCTTTAAATACGGTAAAACAAATCAATTGTAAATAAATAAATAAATAAATAAAAATCAGTAGGCCATCTATACTGAGTTTTACGGCTCAGCGTAAACATAAACAAAAAAAACACCCTACTTGAGGATGCGTTCACAGTAAAATACACACTCCTGACTTACCGATAGTTATAAAATTCAACCAACCATTATCAACATCTTTAACGTTTTAGGAGCTCAAACTCAAAATTAATTAAACAAAATGACCACCGCTCGAAGCGCCCTATAGTTACCTGATTATTATTTACACGTTTTATTTTAATTACGGGATGCAGTTGAACGCACCATGAAGTTGCCGCCTGCGCTACATTCCTGTCGTAATAAGCCGTATAGAAGCGCGATCCGATTTAAGGCGGTGGCCGCAGGTTTCTATCGGCTACAGCGACAGCAGCTAACAACTCCCGGCGCTCAGATCTGGTTCCGGTCCGCTTACTTGTGGAATGAGATGTCTTTGTCTTTGTGGTACCGGTTCTTACAGCCGTACGCTGAGCACGTCTGGACCATGTTTCAGCCCAAACAGCAGCTACTTCTCCCGGGTTAAACTCTGCTGCTCTCCCCCTTCACCATCCAAACAAGGCTTCACCGCCAGTAACAAAGATGGCGGCCAAGATCCAGTCACCTGACCTCCGTTCTTACATGTGATTGGCGGACGCTTCTCCACACAAAACAGGGACTTTTTGAAGATTTTTATGAATTTAATAAATATTTCCTCCGCACTAAGATCAGATGTTACTAATTTTAATATCTGTCCTTTCTGTGAGATAATGTCTAACAAATCTAATCCAACAAAACAGTCAACTAAACAATAAAGCATTTCTAAAATCCTGTCAGTTGTTTTTATTCAATTCAGAAGAATTTCATTTATCCCAAAGAGAAATTAAGTGTAATGACTCACATCATCCAAGTATCTTCATAGAGTCAATGTGGATGTTGCTGCTGTGGGCAGGGAGCAGCTCCAGTAGCAGTCAGTGTTGCAACAATCTGAAAAAGCCTCTGACTGTAACATGCAGTGATTTTTTCCAATAAAAACAGAGCAGTGTGGTTTGGTGTGAAGCATTTTTATTAAGCAACAGAAACACTGAAAACCAGAGTAAACTCGCTTACATCCTGCGTAGAAACTGTTTCAGTGAGTTTGTCCCTAAGAGCTTCCGTAGACGGACCCCAGCTGTGATGAATCTCCAAACTGAAACATCAGAAACTGAGAAGAAAAATCGAGGAGTATGGGACATGATTTGTCCAGTTTTTAAACGAGCTCACAAACGCAGCGCTGTTGGTACTTTTGTACCAACAGAAAGGTACAAGAGTGTATTTAAGAGGTATTTACATTAGTTATTAATGCTGATATGAAATTAGAAGCTTTAGAAGCAGCAGAACCAAACAGGATCCGACCCGCTTGCTTTAAGTCCTTTTAGGTTTCTGCCTTAAATGACTCAGTTTTGATCTTTTTAAAAGGTTCAACATGTTAAAGCATGAAGGAGGAAGAACATCCGGGTTCCTTCCTTCTTTACTTCCTGCAGCTGATCGGATCTGATCCGACGTCCTGCAGGTCGGTTTCACCCGACAGATTCGCTAAAATGTTTAAAACTTTTATGTTCCACCTTTAAAACGCGACAGAAGATGTTCACATTTCATTTTTAAGTGTTTTTCTCAAATGGTTCCAGCCGTCAGAAACACATAATGGAGTTTAAAACTGCAATGCACCGCCCAGCCTGCAGGGGGCTCCACCGCCCGGCCTGCAGGGGGCAGCACCTGCAGGGGGCAGCACCGCCCGGCCTGCAGGGGGCTCCACCGCCCGGCCTGCAGGGGGCAGCACCTGCAGGGGGCAGCACTGCCGGGTCTGCAGGGGGCAGCACTGCGACCCATGAGCGAACTGAAGCAATGTTTCCACAATCATGTTTGAAGAAAGCCTAACGATGGGAAGTGATACCTTCACAGTGTCGGTGATGATGAGGAGGCTTCCGGGTTAAAGGTCACAGGAAGACCTGCGCTGGAACCATCAAAATAAATGCTGATTAATCATAAAAACTCAGGTTAGCTGGTTATGAACAGCTGGAACAAACGGAAACATCTGGTCATGTAGCTGACTGAGCAGCCAGCTGAGGCGCAAACCTTCTGTGATGTCATCGAGGTCTGAATTCATATTTTAGCTCCTCCCACAATCCATCCTGATTGGACAGGAGCTCCAATCAGGAAGTCATTAGATTAACCCAGAAATTAATCTGTGGGAACAATCTCTGGGGTCATGACCTCTTGACCTCAGAGGGGTGGAAAACTTTTCTGGACGACATCTGCAAATAAAAAGTGAATCCAGATGTGTCAAAATACTGGTACCGAGGTTCTGCAGAACTGGACCGGGCTAAAATACGGTTTGAACAAAACCGGGACAGAAACTTTCAGAGCCGCAGTTTGAATAACGGAACAGGAAGTCGGGTTTATGTACACATGACCCGGTCAGACAGAACCAGGTCCGGTTCCGGGTCTGGTTCTGGTCCCAGGTCTCGTTCTGGTTCCATGTCCGGTTCTGGTTCCAGGTCTGGAACCAGGTCCGGTTCTGGTTCTGGTTCCAGGTCCAGTTCTGCAATTCTGGACCAAACGAGTCCAAAAAGCCCGGAAAGCGTTTCCTAAACGGGTCAGAACTCTGAAACAGTTCTGGAGTCCCGGTCCAGCCCTGGGAGGCCGGGACTCTGTCCCGCAAAGCATCATGGGAAGTGTAGTCACGGCGATGAAGCTCCGCCACTGAGCTGCTCCGCCCTTCGACCCAGATCGGTCTGGTTCCGATCAGATCTTCATCAGAACCAACTCGTTCAACATCCTCTTCCTGTCTGGGTCCGTTTCCATAACAACCGTCGTGAAGGTCCAGCTCATCGACTCCAGGAGGAAAAACAGAGAAGAAGAAAGCGACAGTTTGAGTCTTTGGTTCCGACGTTCGGACCCGGGATCGGCTACTCCTTCTCGTCCTCTTTGTCCTCCTCCTCCTCCTCTTCCTCGTCCTTCGTCCCCTCGTCTCCGCCCTTCTGCTCCGTGTCGTCTCCATGTCTGTCCCCGCCGTTCTTTTCCCCGCCGTTCTTGTCTCCACCATTTTTGTCCTCGCCGTCTTTGGACTCGTCGTCGTCGTCAGAACCCTGAAAACACCGAAGGTTTCTGGTAAATTATAAGTACTATGTAGCATCCCTGATGTCCTTTGTTTGTCAGTTAAAAACAATTTAACTAATTTCTCTACTCCAAGACTCCATCAGATTCAAACTGAGTTTGTGGACATTAGAGGTAATTAATGCTGCAACAGGTTTTTGAACCAGTATTCAATAAATAAGAACAAAAAGCACAACTCACTAAATTTTAACAAATCCATGAGAGTCAAAATTCCTCCCAAACATAAAGAACTACATTTTAAAATGATAAATAACATATATCCTTCAAATGAGTTCTTAAGAGAGATTTAATGTTAATGTAGAGAACTGTGGTTTTTGTACAACTCAATTAGAAACAACTAAACATTTGTTTTATGAATGTAAAGAAGTATTAAACTTATGGGATCAACTTCGGAACTTTCTGTCTTCTAAAACAATACATTTGGATTTTGTTTCCTTACAAAACATTTAATCCGGTTTATCCATTAAAGAAAAAAATCTGGAATTTTTAGTCAATGTCCTGATTATTGTAACAAAATATTTTATCCATAAATGTCGTTATGCAAAATGCTCCCCGTCAATCAATGCTCTCAAAAATGAACTTTTTTAAAAGTTGTCTAAAAAAGATGCAGAATTTAAATGCAGTAAAATTGTATGAATTAAAGATTTTTAGTTTGTAGCCCCCTAACATGTCTCTTATTTTTTAATCCTTCTTTTATTTTATCATGTAATTACCCGTCTTTTCATTATTTCTGGTAATTTAGTTATTTTTCAATATTTTTTAGTCTTTTCTTGAGCCTTTCCAACCAGTGTGAGTTGTAAACATTAGGAGTTGTGATTTTTGATATGTTTGTTTCTGACGTGTTGTTGTGAGTTTTGTCAACTGTATTAGTAAACGATGAAGAGATGAGCTGATGCTGTAACACCTACTGCCCCCTGCTGGTAAGGAGGCGTAAAGCTCCATCAGCAGAACCTCAGTAGCTGTTTAAGTTACAAATGAGAGCAAAACTTTAATATTACGCTAATTTCTAAAAAAAAATAAAATAAAATACAATATTGCAAATGCTGCAAATGTTTCTTACATCCATGAAATGAGAAACATTTAAACATGAATAAATCATTAAAAATACATTTCTATTGAGAAACTGTTTTTTCTAAATCGGCATTTCCATTAAGTACATTTATTTTTGTAATTATAAATTTGAGAAGTTTTATGGAAACGGAGCGAATGAAGATTAAAAGTTTAATCAGAACATTTATTTAGTGGGATGGAACCAGAACCAGAACCAGGGTTCTAGAAACATCTGGATGGATGAATGGATGGATGAATGGATGGATGGATGAATGGATGGATGAATGGATGGATGTTGCACTTTTTTGAAATTGTTTTATTTTAAGTTTTCTGACTGCTTAGGAACTTTATTTTGGTAAACCAGAACTTCCTGGGGAATTAATATGACGTCACATACGGACGGATGGATCCTTGCTTCCAGTTAATCCCTCCATCCAACATGGCCGCCTCACAGCGAGGACTAAGGAAACGAAGGAGCCTGATTGGATCTCAACCAGTTTCCATGGCAACCATCTATAAGTCCTACCATCACAAACATCAACAGTTTGTTGAGCAGGTGGACTT